AATTATACAATCTGGTCCTGATGAGATTTAATTGCATTGGGTTATGGAATGAGAGCAAAGTCTGAGAAAGGCTTTTAAGGAAAAGAGGTGAAATGGGAGTAAGAGTTGGTGTGAGGAATAAGCATTGCCATCATAAAAGGGGGAAATCTGGACAGAGATACACATAGAGACAGTGTACAGATCTGGAGGTGACAGCCATCTATACAACAAGGACAGGTGAGGGAATGGACCACCCCACTTTCAGGCATAGAAGGAAGGGCCTTTAATAAGGTAGTAGGGTTACAAGTAACATATTGCCACCTCAAAAACTTAAATATCAGGGGGACAATATTTTTTAATATTCAGTTGAGTTTGAAATTTCTTAGATGTATTCAGGGAAACAATTAGAGAGTTGAAAATAATTTTATGGGTGTTTTAAAGCCACTGATTTTGTGTGTGACTAGCATGCTTTCTAGGAAGAAGACAATGATAAATAAGGAAACAAATGGGAAAGGAAATTGGGCAAGTGGGACGGAGAGTGAGATTTAGGTGGAAGAGCTGGTTCATAGGTAGAAAAGATGACTAAAATAGTACAGATCAGAAGCAACAGATTAAATCTCAGAGACAGTAGATGCCTCCCAGTTTCTGCCTCCTGTCTAGGATGTTGATGGTTCTGTTAGTATCTAGGAGAAAGGACGACAAACTTTGGGAAAAAAAACAAATGTCATGAAATAAATGGCAAATCAGGAGTGGCTGCAGTATATTCAGAGTCAGATGCTCCATATATAACTACAAATTTTTTTCTGAAACTTGTGGTTTGGGATTTTAGAAACTTAATGCTGTTCAGTTCAACGAGCACATTGAACCTGCTGAAATTGCTATAGATCACAACTGGAGACAACAGAGGAAAAATCTCAAACCAAGTCCAGTCATCATTCTTAAGTCATTCAGAGAAGTCAAAAGTTGAGTCAGCAATGGCTTTAGGAATTATGGACCTAGCATGTGGCAGAAGCCGTGCTGATGAAGATGGAAGACTCCGGAGTGATAAAGTACAGGAAACCAAGGTTGTGTGAAGACCGGAGTTCAACAAGGAGACCAAGATAAAGGATTCATTCAAGAGCAGCATCTAACGGCTTTAGTAAAAGAGGAGTGCTGGGTCTGAAGCCTGCCATCAAATGGAAATGTTGAGAGAGCAGCCTACAAAAGAGAAGCATTGGGCGTTAAATGCGGGGAATGTAGGAAAGAAGAGAAGATCAAGGATTTGATACATGTCATTGAAAGAGGTGATAAGAAAAATGAATGATGCTGCAATTTTGGGAGGACTAGGATGGAGGGTTCATAGGCCGTGGACCAAAGCAGCATTTGCTAACATAACTTACAGGAAGAACAGACATCTGTTCATTAGATCTCCAGTGGTGACTGCATGGAGAAATGCAATGTGCGACAGCCAAGGTGATTTAAGAGCAAAGGGCACAAGGAGTGGAGCCTCTGTAGGCCAGAGATCTGTTACTCAGATGCCTGGTTCCACAGTACTAGCCCTTGTCAGACACTATTCTGTTAGAATGCCTACAGGAGGGAAAAGCATCTCTTGGGTGTAAAATCTGACTTGTCATTGTTCAAAAAATCATGTGATTTCATATAAATTAGGTAGTAACATTTCATACTGAATTTGAATATAGAAGAAAATGGATTTAATTTTATGATGTAGTCTTATTATTATGGAATGCCTAGATAAATGGGCTTTGGGTACATCAATTCTATCATTTCTAAAAAGTACTCAGTATATTGGCTCACTCACAATGAGTATTAACTGGACTTATGGAAATAGATAAAGCTGCCAATAGTGTTCTCACAATTCCTCATGTCTAAGATGAGTATTGTATAACTATAAAGACACCAATATATATTATATGAGAAGGATTGTCTATGGCTTGTGCTTAAGAACGAAACATGGTAACTATTCTTTTAAAAGGCTCTAAGAAACAGAGTTTCAGTTTTACGACTAGAAAGTGTTACATCAGAGGAATCAAAGTGAATGGGACTTAATATATAGAATGATAGAAGCAATGGGGAAGAGGCCAAGGAGAGGAAATGGCTGACTAAGGGGCAGGAACTGGTGAGGCCACATGTCTCTTGGCTCTGCAATTTGGGTTCTTCCCACTCTGTTGCAGTGACAGGTGTCCCCAACTCCTGGAGAGTTATTGTTAGGCTCAAAGTCATGAGTGACTGTGCATGCAAGGTACTCAGTATTTTCTTGATTGGACAACTGCATCTGTATTCTAATCAGTAGTAGCCCAGGGAATTAGAGACACACTCTAGGAATGCAGTTTTCTCAATATCTGGTGAAGCACAATTTAGAAAACTGTGACTTAAGACTTGCTATGTAAATCCCTCATTAATTATATCCCATTATCTTCTCAATAATGAATTCGGGAATATTATAATGTCCCTTACTGAAGATGATAAAACTTAAGCTCATCAAATTAGCATAATATTTTCAAGGCCAAGCCATTGGAATGTTATGACATTGAAGTCCAACCTCAATCCTCTAACTTCAGATGTTATACCTTCTCTGTCATATGTTTTGGTCTCTCTAGGTTAGTAACAGCCCTGGTGAAGGAAAAAAACATCAACCCTGTGTGAGAACAGGGAAGAGCAGAAGAAGAAGGAAGGAAATGCATCAGGGGTAATACGGGATTCTTAAGGAGAAAGCTGATGCCATAAAGAGATTAGAATCCATGTAGCAGATGCGTAGTTTGTTTCTTTTTGGATGGTCATGTTTATTTGCAGGCTACAGACTATATAGACCTGGTTAGTTTCCAAAGAATGGAAAGCAATGATGTATAATCTGGAAGGAGATATTTACTCTTAAATAGATATATTGAAAGGAGGATGGAGTAGAAAAACATGGGTTTGGGAGTCAGGGTAGCTGAATTTTAGCCTACAGTTATTTCTTTGTGGTCTTAGACAAGGCCCTATGTTTTCGGTGTCTCAACTTTTTCTTTTTCTTTTTTTAGTTGTCCTTGAAATTTTCATATATTTTTATAATGTATTTTGATCATACCACTGCCCTCCCCTTCTTTAAATTCCCTCAGGACCCTCCCTTCATGTTTCCCTCCCGTCTCCATGTCCTCCTTTTATTATTATATGTTGATTTACTTTTTTTAACCCACTGAGTCCAAATAGTGCTGCCCATGTATGCATGTATGGGACCATCTATGGAGGCATGGGGGGAAATCTACCAGTTGTCACACTGCCAAAGTGAAGAGACTTTCCCTTTTCTAGCAGCCATCAACTACCAATAGCTTCTCAACTAGAGGTAGGGTCTAGTGAGCCCTTCCCCACTACTCCATGCTGGATGTTTAGCTGCTTTGATCTTATACAAGTCTTGTAAGTTCACCTGTGTAACAACCATGTCATGTCCAGAGGACAGCATTTCAAGTTGCAAAATGGGGTGTATTTAACTTTATAATTTTCTGACATGATCTTCCTTTAACTAATCCCCATTGTAACAGACTGCCAAGAACTTATAAAATAACTGTACTGAAACACTAAAGTGAGAATTTGACTTTCATTCTTGCAAAACATACAGCTGCCTCTTATTCTCCAACAAAACATCGATGATATACTGTAGATTTCACCTGCTTCCAAATAGATCACCAAGGTGACATCAAAGTTTGAACAACAAGTCACAGTTTAGTTATTGCTTTGGTAAAAGTAGAAATGAATTTTTAAATATAGCCTAAAATTTTAAAATAAATAAGTCTTTATGTGAAAAGTAATTATAAGCTTCTGTAAATGTACTATTATTCCTTTGCAACTTATTAAATAAGCAAAACCTAACAAAAGAACTACTAGCATATAAAGCATTGCTGATAAAAATAAAATATAACGTTCTCTTTATACGTGAGTCATAAGCAAAACAAACACACTGCAGTACAGAATGCCGTTGAAATAAATCAGCAATACCCTGAAGACATGAGATATATCATGTTCATGGGTTAGAAGACTTCATAAATTTATGACATTAATACTTTCCAAACTGATCAATACATTCAGTACCTCTCAGGAATAGCCCCAGGGGCTTTATTCTGGTAGAAATTGACAAGTTTCTAAGGGTGATAGAGGAATATAAAGAATATACAATATCAAAAATATTGAAACATAAATGCAAGATTAGAGGACTCACATTGTTTTTGTGACTTGTCTTAGAGCAACTGTAATTAAAAGAGGATGACCCTGTGCAGGACTAAGCAAACAGAATGGTGGAAGAGAACAGAGAATAGAAAAAGATCTCCATGGATTTGATCAAAGTTAGCAATACAATCCAACAGAGAAATGTTTTCAACAAATAATACCTAAATAATTATAAAACCGTAGGAAAAGTTGAACCTCTACCTTTACCTCTTGCAAAACCCAAAACATTTAATATGAATTAAGGTACATTTGGATCCCAAAATATAACCACTGAGGTTTATACTGATTTTTCTCAATG